AAACATGCAAAGACCTCACCTTGGACTCTATGATGAATGTTTTGTTTTCTTTTGTTAATATCTTTGAATTAAAGATGAGCATTATCAATAATGAATTTAGTCGGGGGGAAAAAGTAGTGTAAGGCCTTGAGGCTTTTGAAGCTAGATATGTATGTTGTGTGTGCACATACTCTGTGTACAAATAATACATTGATTCAAATGATCTGTTAAATATCGATTTGTCTCTCAGTTGCATTGCCAACCAGGGCTGCTGATGTCCATTTTTAAAACCAGCTTTCATTTTCCGACTTTTCGCCTGGGCGGGATTAATGTGCAGGGATTATCTAGCAACGCTGAAAGATTGACAGGAGCCCTGTAGATTAATTTGTCTCAACCCATGCATACAACACGAGGATATATGAACAGCTCTCAAACATTTCCTGGGTCTTTTTCCTTAAAAAACATGGTTTGTGTGAGGTACCACCCGGATTAAGGTTGAGCAAAGATAAACATTTGTCAATAGGGAAAATAGATTATGATTACATTCTAAAAGTACACTATATTCAAAAAAAAAAGAGAATATAATCGAGCCAGAGGAAAGATACATGTTCGCCTCCTATGGAGTAATGCCTTACATGAGGCCGTGTGCAAACCTTCTGTGGCGTAACATTTGCATTTTTTTGCAGCTATTTTGTCGGTACATGATTGCTCTGTGTACAAACATCAGGTCACACGCGCAGATTATTTGAGGCACAAGGCAAAGATGAGTCGGTTTGATGCTGACAGTGCTGCCTTCAAAGTAGACGCACCGTTGGGAAAAGACGTCAGAATTTGAACAGATAAGATCGTAGCCTTCCCTCCTGGTTATATGCAGGGAGAGGGAATGTTTCATTTGAGAAGCTGTGATTTGTTACACGTGGCTGCACACATTGTAGGTGAGGGGGTATTTCGCCTGCTGCTTTTCAGCTGTCACCCTTTTTGAATCTGCTTTCATACCAGCGTTGATGGACATATTAGTTACTTTCTAGTGTTGCATGAACACATTCAAACCGCAGCCACTTAACAGGAAAGACTAACGTTCTTTATCAGCAGCTTTATGATTGACATGTTCACTCAAAGCTTGACTTTGACACTCGCTGCAGAGCTTCTTTTAATGGTGAAAGGATGGTGCTGTTTTTCAGGCAGAACACGATTTTGAGATCTTATATAATGATGCAAATGATTTCAATGGCATACTTGAGCCCCCCATTTACTGCCGCACTCTTTTTGTCAACACGACTCTATGTTTCGTGAGCATAATGAGCTCATGCTCTTTCACTTGAGCTATCAGTATTTTTATGTCCGGTGTTCACGTATAACCTTGCATGAAATGATCTCTAGCTTTGTAGGAAGACAGTGATGCGACCTAAGAGATGCCGGCGTCTACTGTATGCACATTATCATTTTAAAACCATTCAGTGCACTTAAATGATAACCGCTGGTGCAAAACCTTACCGTTTGTTCACCCCCTTTGAGCAAATTTGTCCTTGAAGATTTTGTTAGTGGTTCTAGCCTACTCAAATCTTATAGGAGCTGTGTTGGTATGGTGTGTTTCTTATACAGTGTGTTGTCAGTAAGAACAACTGCATTTGGAAGGCATGGTGTAAAGGTGTCTAACCAATCCACAATGGCTCAGAACTAAACACCAAAGTAAAAAACATAATCCAAGTATCACTGATTTGCATCTCAGTCTATTTCACTTTCATATCACAGAGCCTGCTGTACAATTCATAGCTTGTCTCTCTCAGTAGTATCAACGGACATACTGTGTAGTAAACTGCTGAGCCAAGGGGCACTCTATTAAAGTCCTGCTGGCAGATGAGTTGATTGGGTCAGATAAGCGTCTGGGCATCACACTTTCTAATTGAAAAATCTTGAGCCCAGGAGATTTTTCCATTCTAAAATACACATTGATTGTGATCTACAGAGGCATATGAGTTTGATTCGTCAGATTTCCTATGCAGTAGTTATATTAATAATGTTGAATATCCTCTATGATAGAAGTCTGCATTAAACAGAAACATCAGAGCTTTTTCAGTATTGTGTTCATCTGTACTCATACCTAAAAAGACTGATAGTCTAAATCCACTTCCGCATTATAAAGTCTTTGTAGCAAGTCAAGACTGAAAAGTCCCACATCAAGTTCTAAACTTATAGTTTTGAGTATGAACTATGTGTTTTTCTTGTCTACTGAATAGTTTTTATTGACCACTATCTAAATTAACTTTGGTATTATTTTCCAACTGCCGCTCATTAAACTTTGTTTTCATGGTGCTCTTCTACAACTTGATGGGATGCTTTTATGTATGACCTATGACACCGACCAAGTAATCGAAAACAATACGCACGCAGATGTTCATTACATCGATAAAGATGTTGAACAAAATATTGTTAAATTGATAAATGCCCTATAACGGAACCCTTTAATCACACGCGTGCTTTGTCATATCACAAAGCATGCCCTTGCCTTCTTAATGATTCTTTATGTTGTTATTCCTCCAGGCTCAGCATCGTATTGCATACAAATAAAGAATGATTGTGCCCCAGGACAATTAACAATTAAGCTATCATTTCATGAATTACACCAATAAAATGTATATCCGCAATAACATAAATAATATACATACAAGGAGGAGGCAACAGTGTCATTGTTTCTGAGGAGAAGAAGACTTGCATGCAAACACGTGTGTCGAAAGCCAATGCTGATTCATTCACCCGACAATAGGACAACAGCCTTCACAGTGTTGCCTTAAGATATCTTTCAGACCGAGAGAGAAAATGTTTCCCTCGCCCCTCAAAATAACTACTCTGTTACCCTTTCAGAAGGTTAGAGCAATGCATTTTAAGAAGCAGTGGAGCTTGCAGCCTCTGCAACCTGGCCTGTTTCTCTGTGATAGCCCATCACTGTTTGTGTGCCAGAGCTTCTAATAACGGATTATCATGGAGCTGCTCCACATGTTTCGCTGAGGCCTTTAAGTCTTTTCATTAGAGACATTGTTTCATCACATTTCTGTGACTAATCTATAATAGCCTTAAATTGTATGTGGCTAAATATTAGATTGTTTGGCCAACGCCTTAAATATTTTCCGTAATAAACTATTGTTAACCCACATTCAAGAGAGGTTCATGGTAATGAAATCTGGGAAGAAAATATTGTTGTATCTTCTTTCTTTGGTAGTGTATTTCGTGAGTGCTATAGTCTTCATAACCGCAGAACTATATTGATAGAGAAATGACTAATAAACAAAGCCAGGACACCGTATATCCACATAACTTTCAGACTTGCTCTGTCTTGTCTAATGTTTCTGCATAATTAATTTTCGCCTTTCAGGGTCATTCACATCAAACCAATTACATTTGTTAAAGAAAAGACTATAAAGAGTCATTTCATTCTGCATAAGGTCTATAGTTCTTCTGAGGTGATTGTTTTAAACCAAAGCAAATTTGGACCAGATCAACATCTAGACATATTGTAGGCAGACAGACAAACTTTGATTTCCTGCTCTGACAGCAGGCATTGGATCGTTTGTTTGATATTCATTCACCCACTGCAGAAAGATTGTGGCCGCCTAAGCTCCCAGATATGAAAGTGCATAAGCATGCATTAGACTATCAGTAACCTACGCTGAGCGGGACTCCAAACAAACAAATAGATGGAGACATTGTGGTTTATGCCTCCCACATGCACTTGTGCATGAGTCAGCAGAAAATAATTCAGACCATGTGGCTTAAACTGTGTCCAAAAGAAGAGGAAGGTTAAACCAAAACATCAGACAGAAACTTAATTTCCATAATACTGTTTACAGAGTTTAGTTGTATGAGTGATGCGTGATCAGCCATAGATTAACTGAGCTGAAGGAATCCTCTGCAGGTTCACACTGAATGCTCCTTCTGCCTGGTGAGGAGAGCTGCAATAAACTGATACTACAGTGGTGTAGAGCCATGGGATTGTCAGTGTTTTCACAATGCACCACAAATGTGTTGATCACCTGCATTCATAATTGCATTTTTACAATAAATCAAATTGAAATTAGAGCCTTGGAGTACAAACAGCAGGTGGCCTATTTCTGGTGTGACAGATAAATGCAAAAATCAAGGACAATAAACGGGGGCCATTATCCTGATTAACAATCAGTTCAACCTTCCTTTAGTACAGTAGAGCCTGTGCATGGTGACTTTGACAGTAAGGACACCATGACCCAACACTGCCTCCAACATGAATGGAACCTCACAGCAGCAATGTGAAATCAGGACGTGGGCCTGGTCCCTTACAGTAACCATTATAAATCTCATGGACTGGACCTCCTGTAGCATTTTTTATTTTTTGTATAAATGCATGGACCTTAATTTTGTATAATGACATTAATTAACTTCAACCCATCAAAAGGAGCCACGCTCATCTTCAGAGGAGAAAGGCTTATAGGCAAACCCCCTCAAGAGGTCTGTGCCTAAAAGTCACCTTGGGAGGCCAAATTGACGGGATAAGTATGGCGCAAACGGGGTGAAATTGGGCATCCGCCAGGAAGGCAGGACAAGTATACATATCTGTAAAGGAAATAAGGATTCCAGTGAGATTTAGTATAACAAGGTAAATCACGTTTTGAATAGCAACTCACCATTTATTGAACGCCCTTTCAATGAATGGGCTCTGAGACTGATCTCACTTATGAGCTTGTGTAAGGAGAAACTGCACTCAGGCTCAGGCTGCAGCTCTGCAGTACCATGTGTCCTTTCACTATCCGGAGCTCGGAGCGCTTGTGCTCTTGTTATGCTCCGAGGATTTCAAGATTTTGCGTCAAAATAACAAACAGTGGCTTCACTGGGACTGTGCTTCATCCGTGCGCTACCGGATAGGCCTAGTGGCCAAAAACCCCTCTGTTCTCTACCTTATGTAGGTCATCAATGACAACATCTGCGATGTGAAAGCAGGCATTTCTTCAGCATGTGGTTATAAATGATGCCTTTGCACCGAGGGCCCTTACCTTCTGCTGTCGCCTTGCCATATCTGTGGGCTGTTTAGCATTGAAGGGGTAAGCGACGCATCGCATCACAAAAACATACAACTGCAGCTTCTTTTTACGGTCTTCTTCTTCCCTATGCATCTTCTCCAGATCCTCTTTCTCCTCGCTGGCGGCGGACGGGCTCGGGCTGGTCGGACGGGCACTGCTGCTGCTGCGGCTGTTGCTGGGAGCCAGCCCGCCCGCGCTCTCGCTTGTCCTGCTTGGAGAGATGCGGGATCCGGCCTGGGGTGCCATCGCCTCTTTGCTTTCCTCCTCCACTATCCCATCAGATTCCTCCTCGCTGGACGACGGATCTAACATCTTGCTCTAGAGGTGATGACTCCCTACAGATATCCTAACCTACTAAATAAGGTGTTTCGATATCCTTCAGATGATGTATGTGCCGTTGTCTTATCCGTGCTGATATTTCATGAAGAATATGCCCGGAGTCAAGACAGGCCCGGATTGTACTCGTGCGCTGAGGGATGTCAGCAGTACGAGTGGAGCTGGAGGAGGTCGACTCTGCTCCACACTCAGCTTTCTCCGCCTGCGCCGAGCACTCGTCGATGCTTACGTATTTTCTGTATTTTATTGGCCAGTCACTGCTGCGGATGTGAGAGGGGGAGGTGAGAAGGGAGCGGAGGGGAGGGGCAGGGAGAGTGTAGTGTACAGCCGAGGGAAAGGAGAGCGGCTCGGTGAAAGCGGGCGATGGCCTCTCCCTGCCTGCCAGGCGGGGACGCAGGCGCGGGAGCTGTCCGTGGTCCTGAACTCAGAATAATAAGAACAGAGAGTGAAGGATGCGCGACTCGTCCTTAATCCCATCCTAACGCTCTGCAGTGCTACACCTAAGATGGCTGCCACAGGATTTCTCTGATATTGTCACTGAAATGGGGAACATTATTCAGTGTATGTGCAGAGCAGTTGGTGTAAAACGTGTCTCCTCCTGAGCCGTCCCATGCCGTTTGATGGTGAAGGGTGGGGTAGCCATGAAGGCTGAACCTCCATGCTCTATGTCTGTTGGCTTCTGATGGAGAAATTGATTGTTGCAGTAAGCGTTGGTAGGCATTTCTTCAATTACGCTGCAGTCACATGCGTTCAGAGATGTATGGTTGAAGGAAGAGAAATCAGGTGTTCAACTTAATCTCATAGTTTCTGACCAAATACAGATATTCAATTTACAGTGTTAATATTTACTAAAGTAACATCTAAAAGCAAAGTCTGTGACTTGGTTGAATTATATTATCTGTAAAGATACACTATGAAACTATACGACAGTTTTGCAATACTTTATGATAAACAAGTGATTTGACGCACTGTGTAATCACGTGGCCATTCATGGCCTTCCAACACTACAATACCACAGGGGCAAACTGACTACATTCACACATGGTTTGCAATACTCATTTTGTGGATACGCTTTTTAAGACAAATAATGGCAACTGGTTTCACTCTTTTCAATTTCTTTAAAGAACAAGGAACGCTTTGATGACCAGTATTTTTTCCTTGGCCCTTAATACAAATAACCTGGCATGGTTTTTTAATGCGTTGACATCACTTTGCAAAGCACCGAGGTGGCAGATAGAGATAGCATTCGTCAGCATGAAAGAGAAAATGCAGACTATTTTGACATTTTAATTCAAAGACAACTGCTCTTTTTTTAAAGAAAATAATATGGCACATTAGCACAGCAGTTACTGTGGGTCACGTGAATTATCTGACACCTAACCAGGGGCCATATTCCCATAATTAAACCTACACAAATCATATTTGGCCTATGAATTATGAGAGACACTACGACAGGTGTTTCTACTAAACAAATACTGTTATTATTTTTATAGGGAAATGATCATCTAAGCGATCCCATAACAGTTTCACCTTGAAAACTACATTTTCATAATAATGACACATTAAAAAAAGGACTAAAGCCACACACTGGAGTTAATCTGTTGATGATTATCTCCGCCTGCTAATGACATTTTTTAAGTGAGAGCTTTTGGAGCTGCTCTGATCGCCCGGTCCTGCCTCTGACTGGATTTACCTCTACTCTATATCTCCTTTCCTTTTCTACCTTGTTGGTTTATCAACTTTTAAAATTAAAGCAATATCTGCTTATAACTCTTTGTTAGCGGTCGCATATGTTGAACTGTTGGGAGCCAATATATATATATTCACCCCACATATGATATTACCTTTGATTTGTTTTTTAAAGGTAAAGCCATCTAGTAATCCCTCTGACCCTCATTGTGTTCCCCTCCCCCACCCTCCCCTGGTGCTTACAGTCCTAGCAAACCCATGTCAGCCTTTGTACTGTAAACTCAGCATGCACACAGGATAAGCTTCAACTACGAGATTAAATGTAATATGACAGTTGGACTGACTAGCTGCTATTCCAGATGTTCTTTATGCGTCCGACCCACAATTCCCTGTCTGTAACTATGCTTTCAAGGACTCCCATCTCCAGTTTTGCTTTCGAGTATCTCCTGTTGCCCTGACGCTGCATTTAAAAGTCCTGTTTTGGTTTTTACTCACACAGTTTGCCCGTGTGGATTATCAGCATGAGGTTTGCCTTTGTTCCCCATAGCACTTAGCTCATTAGGGTCCCAGCAGGCCACTGCCAGCTCCTGACGGGTGAGACCCCTCAGGTTTGTGGCACTGCACACTCTTGAGATCAAATCAAATCAAGTTTTATTTATATAGCACATTTTTAAAACGATTTTTGGTCAAGCCAAAGTGCTGTACATACAATAAAAATACTTTGCAATAAAAACACGTTACAACAAATACAATAGCACAAATAAATAAAGAACATGCAGGGAAATGTCAGGAGTCGTGCTCCGCTCAGACTAGAAGGCCAGAGAGAAGAAGTGAGTTTTAAGTGTAGATTTAAAAACCCCTAGGGTCTGGGCCGACCTCACATGGAGGGGTCTAGCACTAACCTCTGCAATGTTACTCTCCAAACCTTTTAAACATTAATAATTGACTGAAGTTCTCTGCTCCGCTCCTCTCCTCCAACCAGAGTGTGTACACATTAAATGTTGATGTCCTTCAAGGTAGTACAAGAAAAAAGGCCAGTGTGGAAAAATATATACATTTAACTTTGCAGCTGGAATTGTGTTTGTTTGTGTTTTAAGGAGAGGATTTACACTGTAGTAAATGTCCATAATCAGACTAGTGTTCAGGAAGTTAAGAAGACAATCTCACCACCATGTCCAGTTAACAGCTGTGTATCACTCATCTCCACATGCTGATTAAGATGGAGGTCATATGACATGTTCAAATGCTCCAGGACAGCTTTTAATAGACTTTGTAAGAAGATCCACTGCTGTTTCAAAGGTCAATAAATAGCTTTTATTTAAACGTAGTAAAGTGGTTCTAAAACCTGCAATTACAGATTGTTTGCCCCTTAAGAGCAGTAGGAAGAAGTTGTGGACTAAGCAGTTTTCTGTTTACAGCCAGGCCAGCACCTACGAAGCACCATGAGCATTTATTTGGAGGCTTGTTTGTGTCCACCAAACCCAATATTCACTCTTTTCACACTCTGTTTGGTCTTCACCAACTCCTGAGGGAAGATATGTGGCTCTTCAGCTGCTAAAATCCCCATTACTGTTTGCCAGCTAGGGGCTATTTCAGCTGAAAGACACTACAATGCTGTCCAGATTTGAGTGAAAGATATGAATATATACAATTAAATGACAAATAGGAACAATCTATGTGAAACAGTATGAGTGTTGTCTTCAGATCAGCCTTTAAAGGATACATTGTGGTGACATTATGTTCTCAATACAAAATTAAAATGAACTGTTGTGCTCATTAAATATGGTGATGTCCCTTTAATAAAAGGGTCATTTGATATTTGCTCACATGACCTCTCGAAAGCAACTCCATGTGCATTCAGACATATCAACGACTGTCAACTAAAAATGAACCCAAAAGAAGAATAGGTTCAACCTAGAGAAAGAATACATGTATATACGAATCTAACTCCATGAGATGAATCATGTCTGAACCTCTGTTGACCCTTCATCAGAAATGAATTATTGATTAAAGTCAAGCTTTAAAGAAACCAGCCTCACTGTATCCTCACATCTTCTCTATGATCTGAACAGTTGTTCTTTAACATTCATTCTGTCTCTTAACATGAAAAACCATAATGAAAACAACAACAAGGTTTGTGTTTATTTGTGAGTGTGTTACTGCATGTGTCTTTTGCACGCTGTCATGTGTGTGTCAATGGAGAATTGACACGAACAGGATATGTAAGGCACACAGTGACACATGGCAGAATAACAGCACAATGATAAATTAATAACTTCCCTCCATCACTTCTCTTCATTTAGAAATCGTAACATCCTATACTTAATATGTACACAGCATATATTCTGAAAGAGTGTCAGACTGTATGAGAGGATGTGTAAAAATAATTCATATTGTCCACGCTTGTATCATTGAGATCTGTTCTCCTATTAAACGACTATAGTCACCACTCTTAAGCTCTGAAGATCTGTTTAAAAAAAGGTTTGTAAGCGATACATTGACGGACTTACACACACACACACACACGCTCACACATCTTCACACATACACAGAGGCTCAGAGCTTCTCTGGAGTTAACTGAGGAGCTTTTTGAAATATTGAAATGCTGGAAGCGGTTTTAATGTGAGATTGATGGAATAGGGTCAGTGTCAGCATGCAGCTACTTTAGCCGTCTCACAGAGAGCTTCACACCCAGCTAATACAGTATGATGGAGCTTGTCATTTTCACCAAGAATGTGTGGACATCCTGGGAACTGGCATTTTAAGATATGTGTGAGTTAACAGATGGGTTTTATGTTTATTAGATTTTTTTATTTTTAAGTGATATTGGATTATAAATGGATTGCAGAGGAATGAAATGCTAAATATTTAACATGGCGATGGGTAGTGATTACTTAAGGAGTAAGGAGAAGCAATTTCCAACCAATCGGTATAAAGCCTTTTACGTATGTTTTCAGTTTGTTTCCCCTAAATGCAAAATAGGAACGGGAATTCTGATATTTCCATGTTTGCTCTGACTAATTCATTTGCAGGGAATTTGTAATGGCATCCAAGCAGGTCTAGAAAAAATAATAAAATAAAAAATATATATATATGTTTTAGTTTCTTACATTTATCGTTTTATCTTCCTTGTCTGTATAACTGTATTGTACACTATTTGTTTTCCTTGCACAATGTCCTTACAGCAAAAAATGCACATGAGTTCATTTATGGATTATCCTTACTGTTTAAGGTTCCTTTTTTGATATTTTCCGACTAAATTAGAATCATGTTTTTTTTATATTCAATTAAATTTGGGTTTGAAATGGGATACATCTTTGCAGATTAGCTCCGGGCCAAAGGTAGTCCTCCCTGAGAGAAAAAAGAAGCGCTATATCAGCGTGTTGGACCGCACAGTTCCAGGTGTGGAGGCCTCATAAAGATCACCAGATGAATGCTCGCCTTTTCCTCACACAGTTATCAGGGTAGAGAGGGGAGATGATGCCGGAAAAAGAC